TTTCTGGCTTGCTGTTTGCAGCCGCCATGAACTGTGGCCCCAACATGCCAGCCTGCCTTGGAGCCAACTGAGTATGGACTGAAACCTCCAAAAACTGTAAGAAATAAACGTTTCCTTTCCCAACTTTGAGCATAAGGTATTTTGTCTCAGCGATGAGTAAAAAGTAACTAAGACAGTGTGTTTCTAAAACTGCATGTGACATGTCCATGCATCCACGCCCTGTGATTTGGTTGAGGCATAATGTAAACGTCAGTCAAACCCTAGCTCTGTTGGTTGAGCGTGCAGGATCTTATCCAAGTAACTAAAACCCCTCTGAACCTCGGTTCTTTCCTCTGCTGAAGGACAGTGGTGGTAAGATGCCTCTCCAGGGGAGCGACCCAAAGACAGAATGAGATAATGCATATTCTAGGTTATGGTTTCAGTCAAGAATGTCCCCCAGATGTCTCCTGTGCCCTGGAAGATGACTGGGTCCTGGCACATGGTAGCTGACTGTGTGAGGAGGTGGGTCTTGGGGGAAGAGGGAGGCACCTGGAAGGGTCCATTCCCTCCCTGGTTCCTTCCTTCTCACTCTGCTTCCTGCTCACCGTGATGTGAGCAGGTTTTCCTCAGCCCAGGCCCTTCTATCGTGCCATTTTCTACACTTGAACCCACTAAACATGGTCTGAAACTATGAGCCAAAATAAACCTCTTTCTGTAAGTGGTGGGGATTGGGTGTGGTGTCTCCGTGATGAGAAAAGTGACTAAATGAGCCAGGTGGGGTGGTGCACACCTTCAATCCCAGCACTCAGGAGGGTGAGACAGGAGAGCTGCCATGAGTTCGAGACCAGCCTGGGCTCCATATGAGTTCAAGGCCAGCCTGAACTTCATAGCGAGATCCTGTCTCAAAAAACAAAACAAAAGAAGAGGACAGTGACTGAGGCAGGCTAGTCCTTAATGGGCCATGACAGGTTGTTAGGATGGCTACAGTTACCACTGCTGTGACTTTGCAGTGGGGAAGAACGGGAGATGATGTTAGACGTGCAGGCTGTGGCAGGGGAAGAGGGACATGGGAGGGTGCTTGTGTTCTGGGCCAAGGCCTCATCAGACTGAGGACAGGTGGGGCGCAGATAGCATCCTGCAGGTTGTGCCACCTTGCAGGCTGCTTGTCGGAGTGACCCGAACTCAGCCCTGCACCAGCCTGGGTCCGTAATGCTCATCTCAGAGTCCAGCCCCACCCTGTCCTGCCCAGCAGCTCTGGCCCAGTAGCGGACTGCAGGCTGCATCGGTGGCAGGTGACAAGGGCCCTCACCCATCCTGGCAGGAGCCTGTCAGAAGTGCCGGCCGGGGGTCAGGATGAGCTGGAAGGCCTCGTGGTGCCCAGATGCCCATGGCCAGCGGGTCTGCTGAGTGTTTGATTACATTCCCGGGCCCCCCAGGCAATGCCAGGGCTGGCCCTTCCCACTCCTGCTGGGTCCCGTCTGTCAGCAGCAGAGCTGACGTCCCTGCCTGGCCCCCACAGCCCACCTGCCTGCCACCTTCTGCTTCTCCCTCCTCCTGCCAGGTGGGCTGGGCCCCGATGACTTCATCTTCCTTAAAGGCATCCGGCCCCTTTGGCAGTTGGGCCTCTGCTCCTGCTCCTGTTCCTGCTGACGGGCCCTGCAGGTCTTCAGGCTGTAATCATCTCCACAGAGTCCCCAGCCCCAGAACAGACAGTTTGCATGTCACATCCACTGAACACACTGCCTTGGGGTGACCAGTCCCTCAGCCAGGGGTCCTCAAGGGGCTGAGTCTCCTCCTGATCCTGGACCAGCTCAGGTAGCATCTGCCCTGTGCATGCCATGCATGCCACACAGTCAGGCGGCCACCCCTCCACGACAGTCACCCACCCTCACCTGCCTCGTGGGGAACCTCCCCCCAGCCTGGATGAACCCGATGGTTGGTCAGCCAACCCTGAGAGTGTGTCTGATTTTTCACTGCATGAGCCTGAGCCCTCAGCCTACCCGAGGAGCAGTCAGAGGGGTCCAGTTGGTTAAGCACTAAAATAATATTATCTGTGCTTCCAGACGGACGGGTACCTTGAAATCTGCCCTATGCTGAGAGTTTACGTCTCTGCCTGTGCGGTGAATGTGGCTGTGTTGTTTGGGAGAAAATAACCGAGGGGGTGGAAGGCAGGGAGGGAAGAAGAGATAGGCTTTCCTCATCTGTCCGCCTGCCCGCCTGCCTGCCTTCCTTCCTTCCTTTCTTCCTTTTTTTGCAGTGCTGGGATCAAACTCACGGCCTAGAGCACACTAGGCAAGACCTCCAACCCTCGAGTTCTACCTCTAGCACTAGGTCTTTCTTTAGAACCCTGCAACATCCCCTTGAAGCGCTGAGAACTTCAGAATAGCAGCACTGGATGTGATGGCCAGAGTCCAACATTTGCTTCATTGAGAGGAGGACCTGGGAGTCCAGCAGAGGGTCAGGACCCGGGGAGAATCAACTCCATGCCTCCCCTGTGCTAGGAGAAAGGGAAGTCCAGGTGCCACCCCCAGGGATTCAGTGGGTCCAGGGCGGGGCCTGAGCACCAGGATTTCTGAAGCTCCCTGGGAGACACCACTAAGGCCTGTCCAGGGCCTACGCAGTCCCTGGAGAGGTTAACAGAGTGGCGCAGGAGTCAGGTGGAGGAGGGAGCCACACACAGAGCCGAGGGTCACAGGAATGTTGCGGCCAGGGGGCTCTGGGGAAGAGAGAGGGACTCAGGCCGTGGTGCCCAGCAGTTAGGGAGTTCAGACAGCGCAGGGCTGGTGTGTCAGCTTCGTCTAAGGAGTGAAAACTTTCTGAACTTCAATCACGTCCGAAGACTGGAGACTGATAAAACGCACAGTCCATGCGGTGCAGTTCATCGTGCAGACGACGGTGGAGTCCAGGGCCCGATGGGGAACCCAGCCCGTACTGCTGTGGTTGCTTCTTGCTCTGGTCGGGGCTCAGTCAGGGTGCTCAGAGGGCAGGTGGCTCAGGCACTATCCCAGGATGGACCGAAACCCTCTCAGCAGGAAGAGAGGGAAGTCGAGCTGCTTGGGAAGCTGGGCATAGGGCTGAGGAGTTCCCGTGCGTGCTGGACACCATCAGGAGTGTGCCACCTCAGTGAACAGGGACTGTAGACCAGAAGAGCCGGGGATGGTCCCGAGGCCAGCAGCGAGCAGGACCTGGTGTGGCTCGGAGAGGAACAGGGAGCGGGAGCAGAGGGAGGGGCAGGGATGGATGCTGGCAGCTTGTGGGGTGCTGCTCTCCATCCCATCCTCTTCCTCCTTGCACCCGACAGGCTGGAGCCCCACTTGGGCTTGGATGGGGGGCCCTGAAGGAAGGCGGCTGCCAGACGCTCCGCACATGACTAGTCAAAGGGCTTTTGGGGGTAGCTTTGCCACCCTCCAGCCTCCGTCCCTCTGGTTAATCCCTAACTACACTAGACCTGGAGCCCTGGGTGGCGATCAGCCAAGTGAATAATCGCCCAGGGCAACCTTTCCACCACGGAGGATCACAGGCGTTCTCCTCACACCGTAAACCCCAGGCCTTTCATCCAGGGCCTACGCAGCCCGAGGAGGGGGCCTTGGAGACTTCCACCCTGTCGGGGACCCCCGGGCGGTGCACAGCACCCCTGCACGGCCCCCTTGGCATCTGCGGTCCTCCCCGGGGTTGGGTCAGGGTTCTTCCAGGAATGAATTTTGTCTCACCTCTGCACCTTTGTGACCACATTTCATAAGTGAGGGAACAGATTTGACAAACTGAAGTCATTTGCCTTGGGTCACACAAGCTTATAAGAATAACAGTCCTGAAGGAGGCCTGAAGAATCCTTGCCCCTTACCCAAGGTCAAGGGCTGCTGCTCCATCGAATTCCAGGTAAAATTCCTGCGTCTGCAGGGAGAGGTAATAAGCACCCTGTAACTAGACATGTACTGATTTACAAGCAAGGCTGCCGAGGGGCTTCCAGAGTGGGGCGCATGGAGGACCCCGACCAGAGGGCTGTGGACATGTTTTACCTCTGCAGGGCAGGAACTTTCTCATGCTCCTCTCCGTCCCCTGTGTCTGAGTGTACAAAACAAATGGACGCTGGACGTGTTCTATGATTAAAAGGCGGGCAGGGGATGAATCATCTGGGGGAACCAGAGCAGGGGGTGCCCCCATAAAACCCTTCAAAGCTGAGATGTCTCCTGTCCCTCTGGCTCACCGCTGGGTTGCCGGGTGCCATGCTCTGTCCTGCACTGAGGTCTCTCTCTCAAAGCTGGGGTTCTTGCCGTGCCATTGTATCCATGCAGAAGTTTGAGCTTGGAGAGGTTGGGTCACTTCGCCTTATAACTGGAAGGACTTTTGTGAGGACGTGGTCAGCTAAATGCCTTTTATCAGCTTTTATTTTATTTCTTCTCCATAACCAGCCTGAAAGGAAAGAGCTATTATTGGCTGTGATTTTTTTTTTGTAGCGGGAATCGAACTCATGACCTCATGATTGCCAAGTAGGTGTTTGTGCCACTGAGCTTAACGCCCGGCCCGCCGGCTGTGATTTTTGTGAAAAGAGGAAACTGAGACTCAGCTTCAGGGAGTCGCCCACAGTGGCAGAGCTGGTGGGTGGTCACAGCAGGGCCAGGGCCAAGGCCAGGTGCAGCGGGAGCTGGGGGGGACATGGGTGCGGTTGGCAGCATCAGGTCTGGGTGTGGAGGAGGAGCAGGGACACTGCTGGCCTGGGTGACCCATGCCAATTTCTGGTTGTCTCTGTATGACCTTGGGCGTACTCTCTATCTGCAGCCTCAGTTTACCCCTCCGTGAAATCGTGAAGGGATGGGGAGAGGGGTCCGATTTCTCAGCTCCCTCCGGCTGTCATTTTCCGTGACTCGATTCCCCACCGTGAGCTCTGGGCCACAGACCAGTTGGCTCCTGCTCTCCCTCTCAGTGCGCCTGCGAGCTGGCAGGAGGCGATGATCTGCCCGAGCTCTCCCACCTCCCTTCTCCTCCTCCTCCTGCCTGGGACACACCTACTTCAACTTCTCAGCAGCCTCTAGGGCTGGGCTGAGCCTAGCGCCTTCCTGCTCAGCTGCTCTGCAGCTCCCCAGCGCCTGCCTGGGCTGCGAGCTCCACCCCAGCCGCCCACTCCGCTCCAGGGCAGCCTCCCCTGCCCAAGGGCCCAGGTAAGAACTCTTGAAGCATGGAAGCCCAGGGCCAGGGGTTGCAAAGCGAATCTATTTGTGTGCCTGGTTCCAGCGCTGACCAGCCTTGGGGAATTCCTGAGAAGTGGAGAAGGAACTGGGAGCCAGCCGGCTGGCCAGGGCAGCTGGGGTAGCTGCGGAGGGGGCATGGTGGGGCACCTGGGCCCGGCTCCCCTAGGTATGCAGAGCCTGAGCCGGGGAGCTGGGAGTCAGGGCTGGGGCTCAGGGGCAGACAAGACTGGGACTTTGACCTCAGTGAGGAGGAAGGTCACGTTGCACGTGTGGAAAGCTGGACTCTTGTCTCTGGGAGAATCAAATCTGCTTGTTCTTTCTGGGGATGAAACTCCATGGAGTCTGGGGGAGATTTTCCTTCACAGTTTGAGGGGGCATGCCAGGGTGACTTCTTGTGTATGTCCGGGGGCTCAGGAGCCCTATCACAGACACAACTGCTAAGCGAGGGTCAGCCAGCTCACCTGGCCAGCTGGGGCTCCCTGCAGTCCTTTAGAGGCTCCGGATTAGATCCTCGGCTTTCCTGACTGTACAGTGGGGACACCCATAGTCACCAGGGCTGAGAAACGCTGTGGCCCAGAGCCACCTCAGGTGGCTGTGACTCGGGCTGGGGCAGGGAAGCAGGAATCTGATGGTATCTTTGGAGGCAGCAGAGCTGGAGGGGAAGCTGAGCAGGACTTCAGGGTCAGAGTTCAGCCCTCCGCCCGCCCGAAGGGACAGCACTGTCAGCCCTACCTAGTGTGGGAACAGCAGAGCCTCGCTGAGGTTCGCAGAGAGCTCCAAAAGCCACCTCTGTCCCCAGCCATGGTCGGGGGCTGATGTCTGGGCTGGGATAGAGGGAGCAGTGACTGTGCATGTCCCCAGTGCGTTCTCCACTGGGTAGATAGAGAAACACTCAGGAGCTGAGCGCTGCTCCTGCTCCAGCCTCGTTTAGCAGGCTGGAGTGGACACTGGTCAGGTTAATGAACGTGCCCTCTGTGGACGTCACCACGATGGTCACTGTGGCTTGAGTTCTTCAAATGCTTTCTGTATTTGGGGTCTGGCTGAGTTTGCATGGTCCAGCTTTTCGCAGCCAGCCATGTGGCAGTGTGGAAAGAGAATTCGTTCATGGTGCGTTTGTGACTCACAGGATATGGGACGGTTTTTCCGCATACACGGGAAAGGTGTTGGATGCCTGCTAAGACGGGTTCTAAAGGGGTTCACCCCAACAGCCCTGTTGGGTACACAGAAGGGAAGGGTTGAGAGACTCAATGTCCCCCACCTCAGGAGGCATTTGTGGGTGCCCTTCAGGGCTCTGCGTGGCGCACCTGCCAGACTCCTTGCAGGAGGATTTCGGGCCCATGATGTGGGCCAGCCTGAGGGGGTGAGATGGCAAGTGCCCCGTGCCCCAGCTCCTTCTGCCTCAGTTTCCTCCCCGGCATACGGAGGCAGAAGCACAATGAATGAAGGTCTGTGGCACCTCCTCCTGCTCTAGTCCCTAAGGTCTAGTCCCTAAGGACTCAGAGGGACCTGGATGCTCCCTACCCCTCCGCAGGGGCATGGCTGTGTTTGCATGGGCAGGGCCCAGCCCCACCACACCTGTCCGTGAGCGGGGCCCCGTGTGGTCCCCCTGCACCCTCTCCCCAATCTCTCTTACAACCTGAGTTCCTTTCTCAGAACCGATGTGGGAGCTAAATGGCATAATGCATTCAAGGCCGGGCTTGAGACACCCGGCGTGTAATTCTTACATTTGTGGCGCTCGGTTCATGGGCCGCCTCTCTCCTCTTGGGATGATTTTCCTCTCTGAACGTGTTCTCTGCTAAGGCTGGCCGTGAGTCCACCGTTCATGACCTGTGTGTTCCCTCAGATGCTGTCTCTCCCACTGAGGGAGGTGCTGAGGTCTGTCTTTCTGTGTCCAGTGCAGCGCATGGCACATAAAGGAAGCCCCTCATGCACCTGCTGAGTGAACGATGTTGCTCGAGCCCTAATTAATTCACAGATGAGAACTGCTGCTTAGGGAAGCTGTGTTAGAGGCACTGGACCAGCCAGGCGGCAGCGCAGGCCTCGCTGGGCAGAGCTGGTAACTCGGCCGAGGTCCTGCAGCGAGTGAGAACCAGGCCTGAGACCCGCATCTCTGCACCCACCTCCACCTCAGTCTGCCTAGCCCAGTACAGTGTTTCTGCTTCTTTTGTTTGGGATCAGCAGGGAGGTGAACCCTGGACGATGAGGTGACCTCCTCGATCAGATCCTTCCCGACACCCAGGAACACACATGTGTGCACACGCACACGCATGGCTCCTTCACTCTTGTCCCCAAGTCAGTAGACGTTTCTCACTGTCCAACTGGACTGGCCCTCGAAGTCCCCTGGGGCCCTGTTTTACAGCCACAGGTTAAGAATGCCCTGCCTGGAGGCGCACGGCGGGTGGGTGGTGATGTCCTAGGTCAGCGAGCACTTCCTGCTGAGTTGAAAGGGGGCACAGAGCGCTCTGGCTGACCGAGCCCCTCTGTGTGCACATCGCTGGCCTGGCCGCTTCTCGCACTCCCATCACCTTCTGCCGTCTCTTTGTGTTTCATTACTTTCAGTGGCGAAACAGGACACAGATCAGTTAAGCCACTTCCTCTAAGTCACACAGCTTTTACTCTCTTCACAGACACTTGGTTCAGTAGATGCTTCAGGGAGCATTCGTGGTATGTCAGTACCCCCCAAATTCACAGTTGGTGGAGACGGACTCACCACGGATGCTTGGATAGTTTGGGGTAGGTGAAAAATACAAAGTTGGAGAACTGACACTGAACATCAGTTTTGAGGGGGTAAATAAGAGGGAAAGTAAATTAGGAGCCGGGCACGGTGGCACACATCTGCTATCCCAGCGCTTGGTAGGCTGAGGCAGGAAGATTGCAGAGTCAAGTTGTGTTGCAGGAAGACAGAGACTGATTTTCAGATTCCCAGAGAAAAAATGGTTTATGCGCAGTTACATGGGTTAGAAGACAAGAAAGCAGCAGACAAGCGTTGGAGCCTGGTCAGAGAGCAGGATGAGCAGGTCTTGGGAGGCCTGTGTGCAGGACGATGGGCGGGGCTCTTTTATAAAAATGCAACCTACCTGGGGAATGACAGGCTACGCAAAAGCCAGGTAACGGGGAGGACCCTGGTCACCCGCTTCCACAATTAGGTTTCATCTGTACTCCACCAACCTTTCCCTGTAAACTTTCCCCACTCTGAAGCAAGTCCCATGGAGAGGGCTGCATTAGAAAATATTCCCACATTTATCTTGAAAACATAAGGACTTTATCCTGAGGGGAAATGACTTGGACATATCAAACAGGAGAGGGTGGTGGAGGAGGCTGCGTCTGGGAGTGACTCTAAGGAGAGGGTCAGGCTGGATGGGAAGCCATCTTGCTGTCACCGCACGCATGGGCTGGTGACAGTGGGTGATTCTCCAGGTCACTCACAGATTATCCTCCAAAACCCATCTCCTCTGGAAAGGAGGAGACCTGGACATTTTCCAGGGTGGAACTGCAGGAGACATCCCTCCCCTCCCCTTCTTTTTCTGTTCCTGAGACAGGAAGGGCCGGAAAGCACAGCTCTCCTCCCCCTGGGGGCGGGAAGCCCTGTGGAGAAGTCTCCTGTTCAGCTCCGGTGCCCATGGCAGTTGGCCCGGGCTCCTGAGGAGCAGGATGCTACACGCCAGCCGTGGGGTAACGTTGGCATGTATGTGCGCGCTGGCCGCGTGTGCTCACGTGCCTTGTCTCAAGCTGCCGCCTGTCCCCACAGCATGCTCCACCTCGGTCCTCCTGAGGAACGCAAGGCTTCCGGGTGAGAAGTCTGTCATTTTGCACACTTGGAAGTTTAGCTGGAGAAGCGAGAGGGCTTGGTGTCTGCATGGCGCATAGGAGCTCCAAAGCCAGGGGGCTCAAGCGTCCAGTGTGTTCTCACTGCTTTCCAACTTGGTGACCCTGGACACCTTGTGTCACTTCTGGAGGGGTACGAGTTTTTCCGTGTGGAGCATTCAAGCTTCTGTATCTCATACTAAGAGCTCACCGGGTGGTAGCACTGTTAGACTTCTGGGAGCTCTGAAGTCCTGGGAAATCAACTCAGAAAACTACAGCGTCTCCTAAAATTCAAACCCCAGAACCTCAGACTCTTGGCAGCATATGGAGAGAGGAACACTCTGGGGTCCTTGGCACGCTCTTCACCCCGTGTTTGCAGTGGTGTCTGACAGCGGGTCAGCACGACCTTTTAATTCTCTCTTTGTAAACATTCACAAGCAGAATGAATGAACTGCCAATTCCAGCAGATGAACTTCTATAAAGTGAATTAACACAGTGACTAACCGGGAACCAGAGCAAAACACAGACATGGAAGCCTCCAGGGGCCCCAGGCGTCATGGGGACCCAGCCCCGCTGAGATGCTCAGCTGTCCCCAGCAGCCAGTCCTTTTTGTCTCTGAGGATGGCTCCGCCTCTTCTTTCAGGGCTGAGTATCCCTGTTAGAGCTCTGCCCGGTAGAGAGGTCCTGTGAATCAGTTTGGAAGTCACTAAATTAAACTTTACCTTTAAATTGCTTTTTTCTCACCATCGTATTTCTATAAGACCCTAATTTAGCCAAGTTTCCCAAATGTCTGAGGCTGATATAAAAAACACAAATTCCTCAGGCCCAGCCTAAGTCTGTGATATCAAAACAGGAAGCCAATGGGTCCTGGACAGCTGTATTCACAAGTTGCGGGGTAGGGGGTTGGATTGCAGGTACCACCCAGGTGGGTCTGGGCACCATTGCTCTGCTGTCCAGAGCCTGCATTTGTGAAGGACAGACCACGTTCCAATCTGCCCTCTGCACACTGTACTTACTGGCACTGGGCTTTGCTGACCCTTAGGCTTTTGTGTGCAACCTTAACTGTTGAAGGCTTCTAAGACTCCCAGGGGAGGTGCTGTCCAAGTGCTGGGTCAGCGCTTCGATTCTTGGGGAGAGCCATCAGGAGCCAGGGCAGTGTTGAGTTT